AAAGTAACAGGACACTTCCCAAACAAATTCATAAATATCAACTGCACAAAGAAGACGTTTGCGATTGTAAACAGCATTGGAAATCTTAATGCCTCTTCAGAAATTCCAAATGTTAACTGTTGTGGTAAACCCTCTTACAGTATAATGAACTCTCCCTCCTCTCACAAATACAAACTGCGAGAGTCGGATACCAGAGAGAGTGTGAAGTGAAGTGGAGTAGTAGACGCAGTGCAAATCTACTTATTACTAACACTATTGTTTTGTATATATCTTCAGTATACTTTTTTTTCCACAGGCCTTCGTCTTGCGTGTTTTTCTTTCTGTCCCCTAAATAGGCCACAACATTAACAATAGAAACTGATCCGTTTCCTTGCTTTTCTGTTAACTGCAATCCTCAAATTTATAGTGTTAATGATATCAACTATACAAAAAAGACATTGGACGTTGAAAATCTTAAGACCTCTTCAGAAATTCAGAGTCTTAATATCAAGTATACAAAAATATATTTAACTACTTTAGGATTTGCTACGACTCATTTAAAAGTGCTGGCAACATTAAAGGTTCGAAGTAAAGATTGGAGTGTATTATCAGTCTCGGTCATTGTAATGATTCTTTTGAAAGTTGTTCCGTTAACAACAGCAACATTATACATAATAGATTTAGCCATCTAGGCAATAAATTATAATTATCAGAGGTCCGATGGCAACTACAACTATACAAAAACAGATATTGATAATAAATGATGATTATGTTAATAACTCTTCTCTAAATTATCGACAAAATGTGAGTTGTAATTTCCAATAGTATTAATAATCATCGCAACAAATATATTGTAATTTTTCTACATCTGAACAGATTTGTTCTAAAAGTTCCCTGGCCGAATGTGGACGGACTTTTCAAACAACGGAATACCTGCCAGAAAGAGTGTGATGCGAACATTGCATCAAAGTTTTAGAAACTGGGCTTTCTAAACTTGCCGCTTGCGTGCGGCGAATTAAGTACGGATTAACAGATTTATAAATGTTCGTGTTCGACAGGATTTATGGAACTGCTTAAACCTAGATTGAGACGTAGGATGACTTATTTAATGTTGAGTCGCCGGCCAAACCTCCACATCTTTCGGTTACATAAGAAATAAAGGCACGTATTAGCCAACACACACTCTCGCCTTCTCTCTCTCTCTCGCTCTCTCTCTCTCTCTCTCTGCTATTCATCTTAAAAGGAAATGCGTGTTTAAAATTTTGTTTCAGAAGTTGGAATCTTGAGTAGGAACTATCATCTCCGGTGCAAAATTAATGAACATAATGTCTTTTTGGATTGAAAGAGAAATATTGCCGCGATGACCTCTCTGACCGCCATGTTTAGATCCGCGCGACTCCTGACATTACTTTCATTTTCCCATGTGAAAACAAAATTTCAACATTGTTCGGACGGAGATAACTCTTCTTTGAAATTGTCAGCACAACCTTTCGGATGAGTGTCATTCAGTAAGTGTTGAAAAAAAAAAAAAGAAAGAAAAAACCGGTATGAAAAGAAAAAAAAAACACAACGAAAGCTTTTCATGAAGACATTTCGAGAATTCTTTCACGGATTAACCTACTGAATACAGGTGAGAGTTTGAGTCGAAATCAGCAATCACACTCTACAGGGCAAATATTTACTATTATCAAACATATCATGTTGATAATCATAACTTTACAAAGATGAGATCCAAGTGTCCGAACAATATCCGATATGATAATGCCCCTCCTAAATGTTGTAACGTTAACCATAGCAATTATACAAAGATGAGATTGAAGGTTACGAACAATATCCAATATAATAATGCCTCATCTCAACACTATAATTCTACTAATAACAATTATACAAAAAAGATTCAAGTTTCCGAACAATATGCTATATAATAATGGCTTTTTCCAACGTTATAATGTTTACAATAACATTTATACAAAGAAAAGATTCAAGTTCCCGAACAAAATCCGATATGGTAATGGTTCTTTCAAAAATGAATCCGTATACATATATTTTAAATTTTCAGTGAAAGTTGTTAGCTTATGGTCTATAAGTATCAGACCCCCAAACAAAAACTGTTCAATCACAAAAATGACTACTCTCCAAATTTTTGATCCAAATCAAAACATATCCTAAAGTTAAAACTAATAATATTCAAACGGCGAAACCAAAATAAAATTGAAGGCCGTCGAATTCATGCTAGAAATATCTGTGGACGTATGACACGACATGACACATGGTATCTCCGACTGTCGTCTGTTGGTAAATAATATACATTTTATTATATGGTAAATGGTGTGGGGTATATTCTAACCAAGGTGGAATATTCTATACCAAGAGTTGAGAACTGACCTAGTTTTACATTCCTCAGGTACAAACTGACATTTACTAGAATAGATATATTAAAAACTGAGAGAATACTATGCACTGTAACTCCAGTCATTAAGGCAATGGCATAAATATATTTAACGATGAAGTTATACAGAAGGAGACTAACTATTTTCCTGAAAAGACACCAGTCGGCGATTGTGAGCTGACCTCCCTTCCGAGCTACCACTAACTTCCCTAAATTGGCGGGAAAAAATAAACTGGCTGAAAATAAAATGCCTTGAAAACCAAATCAGTTATATACCATCACCGCCTATTGGACCCCAAACTACCGCCAGTCAAGAAGAAAGGGCGTCCCCTCGGAGAGGCACAGTGCCTCGAGATAATATTGGGCCTCAAACTCTCACCTGATCTCAAGTGGAACTCGTACATACGTTCCATCGCTAAAGGTGTTGGTTCAGGGATCGCCAGTAAGTAGCTGACACCCCATTCCATACCCTACCTTTATAAGAGCCAGATCAGGCCGAAAATGGAGAACGTTTTGTTATATATGGGCAGAAAGGTGGCAAGTCATCACTTTCCAGGCTTGATATATTCAAAATTGTCCCTAAATCTTTGTGAGGGATTAACTATTTTCCAGCCTTTTTCTCGCAGTT